CCCCCCCCTCTCGTCCTTGTATATATAAAAAAAACATAAAATAGTATTGTTGTGTATATGTCAACTTTGCTTTATCCTGAACAAGAGAAGTTTACTATAAGCTGGAAAGAGAGTGTTGGTGTGAGTGTTGTGATTGAGGTGATTGTTGAGAATTAGTAGTAGTACCTTCACAGCTTGTGTTTTTGTCATACTACTACTACTACTACGTAGTACTACTAGTACTCGTACTAGTACTACTAGTAGTACTAGAATTTGCCTTGTGGGCAATCATTGTGTGAGTACTTCTCACCAATAGTCAGCACCCCAATACTCCAGCAGACCAGTCTTGCTGTGTGTTGCCTTATGACCTATGTGTATTAGCTATGTGCTACTATTAGTAGTAGTTCCTGCTGAGTACATGTTTGCATTTTAAGTTGAGATTTCCTTGTGCACTTGGCAAGTACAGTACTCATACTGTACTTTACTTAGGAAGTATTAGTAGAAGTAATTGCCTGTCGTAATTATCGTACCACAAAAAATATTCCCAAAACGTAATATCATAATTCAGAAAAGAAGATTGTGATTGGATAAATGGTTTCTTCAAAGTTCAAAGTTCCGTAGACGTTCGAAGTATTTGATGACAATTGCAGCTATTGCGTCATATTTATGTTTAAACGTATTGACATTAAAGAATCATATTGTTTTTTAGTGGATGTTTCAGCGAATCACAAAACAGATGTGGAGAGGAATAGACACATCCGGGGCCAATGGATTGTCGTATTGAAGAAACAAATGTTTACCTAGTTCAATTTCACTGACGTCATTAGTACCGAGTTTGACGCACTTGCGGCGTTCTCTCTTTGCGTTTGAGATGCTTTCAGCACGGTGCAAGACCCGTGTTGTTTGCGAGAATAACCTTGAAGTGTTCTCAACTTTCTGTGACCGTCCAGGAACCGAAAACAAAGATGCGCGGTTTTTCACTGGAACAGTCTTTTTCCACGGGACGCATACGTAGCTAGTTCGCATCCCACTCGTGAAATTACGTTTCTCTGCCTGACGTGATTTCAGACGACCATGCACGCCATCAACCCATGCTCAACTATCAATACGATACGATATCTGCCTTGCCCTTCTATGTTTTCTCGATCAGCTGTCGTCTTTGAATCGACATTCAGCAAATAATAAAGAATCCACGGATTCTCGCACCCATGGACACTTAGTAAAGCGGCACACTGTTGCGACAAGAACAAATTTGACCTTTTTTCAAACTAACAGTTTCATTCTAAGAGTTCAAGAAAAATCAATTTGTTGAACAATGCGCGAGTACGATTCGAGCAAGAAAAGATCGCGGAGTGCCCTAAGCTGCAGCAGCAGTGCAGCTACAAGACAGACAAAAAACGCCAACCGAAGGCTGTTTTCTGCCGCCGTCCTAGCATTGGCGACTCTCGTCGTGAATTTCAATTTCGATGGCGCTTGCCCCACTGTGAATGCGTTCACACCAACATCTACGGGGGTATCTTCCGTATCCACCGGATCCGCATCTACCAAGAACACCATCCACAAAGATAATCTTGCAACAAGGATATATCCGTCGTCAACAAACAGGCGACAAGCCCGCCAGCAATTGATAGGGTCGTCATCGCGAGGTGTGTCCTCGACAGCCATAGACGATGAATCGACCGCTACAAACATCTCTAGAAATCGAAACCCATCTACATCTTTGTCGTCAGCGACGTCTCCCATTCTGAACCACCAGAGAAGGAGTCGGGTGAGAGCCGCCAATGCCGCAAAAAACTTTCTCGTCGTCGAAAACGACGACCAATACTCAACGTTCAACCACAAAAGAAATAAGAACGATATCAAACGCAAAAGGAATAAAAGAATCAACAGTCAAAACAATGGACTGGAGGTTCAAGTGGTCCTGAATGACGACATCGTTGGAATTCCCTCAAAAAGGAGCGCCACGACAAGTCGAAGCCGGAATACGAAAATGACTCGTCCCAAGAGCCGCATCAGTAGCCCTCAAAGGCAAGCGCGGCTGAGAATGAAGAAAGCTAACAAATCGAAAACCGCATCGACACCCCTCCTGACAAGGGACGAGGAACGGCAAATCACCTATAAAATTCGAGATTTGCGGCGTGTAGTGCAAATTCGTGACGAGTTGATCCAAGAAAAGCAGGAATGGTCCTCTCTTCGCCCCTCCTTTGACATCGACGCGTACAACGATGACTTTCCAACGGAAAACGATTGGGCCAGAGCATGTGACCTGGACGTTTCGGAGCTGCGAAAGGTCATGGACGAGGGACAAGAATCCCGATCTCTATTAGTGTCGGCCAATGCAGGTTTGGTCACCTCCATCGCCAAACGTCACTACCACGTCCTAAAACAGATGACGAATGCCGGAGGAGGGGTTGGGACCATTTTGACCCTACAAGACATGATTCAAGAGGGGAATCTTGGGTTGATGAAGGCCGCCGAACGGTTCGAACCGGAGAGGGGATGGAGGTTTAGTACCTACGCCACCTATTGGATTCGGCAGCGGATTCTCCAATCGATCACTGATACGTCCAGAGTAATCCGTTTGCCAGCACATGGTATGTAGCGGAAAAGAATCAATACCCATGAGTCGTTCTGAACCAATTTTGCCTTTTCGAGACTCACATTTTTTGAAACAATGAATTTTGTGGTTTCCTTACTTTCTTCCGCATTTTAGTCACTGCCACTCTTCAAAAATTCAACAAAGCAAGAAGAGAAATGGCGGCTGAAATCGGACGAATGCCTTCCGATGCTGAACTCGCGCACTATATGGAGATTCCAGTCGAGAAGTTGCGTAAGATCAACGAAAAAGCAAGGTCCGTTGTTTCACTTGAATCTCCTCTCCGAGTGGGCAGCAACCACAAAGCCGAAGTGGATCGGCGGACAATTGGAGATTTTATCGCATCTGACGCTCCCACGCCAGAGGAAGACGCACAGCAGAAATCACTCCAGAGGGATATTCGGGCCGTCGTCAACGAATTGGCAGACCGGGAACGCGAGGTCTTGATCATGCGGTTTGGTTTGGATAGCGGGGATCCCATGTCGACAAGTCAAACGGCAACCCAGCTGGGAATTACCACGGATCGGGTGCGGTATATAGAAACACGGGCCCTGAACAAGCTGCGCAGTCCACAACGTAATTACCGGCTGAAGGACTACCTGGGCGACGGCCACCATGCGGCCGTGGACAACAAGCGAAAAGCAAAACTCTCGGGGCTCAATTCGCAAATACCTGATTCGAAACACCGTCGCAGCAACCAAAGCAAGCGGCAGAAGCCCCCTTCTCCTGAAGAAAAGTTCTGGTTCTTTTAAGAAATAGCAAGCTACATTATCTTGACTGCTCAAAATGTATAATATCTGTAGTTCGGTATACACATTTTGCATGATCACTGTCTAGCACGTAGGAAATTTGACAAAGAATTGATTTTCTTCGTCAATTATCACGAAAGTAAGTCAAACCGATGCAAAATAGAAGATATCTTTTACGTCATGGTGATCCAAGCACTTTGCTTGCTTCTCACAGAGGAAGGAAGAAAGAACTGATGACAGCTCGAATTATCGACAAATGTGTTAATTTTCGAAAAATATATTTCAATTGCAAGTACCTATTATGTGATGGATTCAGCTTTTCGTTCACTGCGATTGTTTGGATTCACCAGAATTTTGCCAGCTACTGGGATAAAAAACATGAACTTCGTGTAGTGCCATCGGATCCTCCGTAAAATGAAACATTTAGTGCCTAAGAAGAGCCAAAGAACAACAAAAGTACTGAATGGCGACAAAGAGCTTGGTTTCGACTCATCTTCACTCCGGATTGAAGATTTTCTCGATCCTAAATCGTTCAGCGAACAACCTTCCAACGAATAAGTGTAATCTATGATACAGCTGTATTTGATTAACGATTGTTGTAGTGGCAAAATCTCCTACTACAGTGACTAATTTAAAGATGATTTCTCAAATCGTTATTAGGGTGCATTGCGGAATATCATATTTTTTCTGAGTTCTAAAGTTGGCTATTGCATGTAAATCATTTCATTCCCAGTCGGTGAAGGAACAATTTTGCTCCTCCAATCTCCAGATGCGACATCTTCGGGGCTCACATCGGTAATCTTATCCGGAGGTATGTAGACCAAATTGTCCGTGGCCTGTACCATCCACGGTTCTTGTCGGTAATCATTGCCGAATGGTTTGGGTAATAACCAGTGCATACCAATCGTTACTCCCTTACGAGGTGCTGGTTTGAATTGTCCACCCGCTCGAGCAGCCAAGAGTCTTTCGGAACAGAATTCTTGCAATCGGTTCTGGTAGATCGACTTAGCATCATTAGTTCCAATGGGCATCGATTTTGCTCGTTTCACGAAGTCAGCAACAGACTCTTTCGCCACGTTTTCCATATCTGTGGCGAGGACAGGTGAAATCCGCAGCTTGGAGAGCTTCGCCTTAAAGTCAGCGAAACAAGCCTCTTGCAATAAGCTCAGTTGTCCTTCGGCCAGATCGCCTAGTTCTCCGTTCAACTCATCTCGAAGGTTGGCTTGGATTTGCTTTCCAACGGCCGACGAGGAGACAGCGGGAGACTCTGCTACCTCCTCAAGCTCTTCCATAGCGCGCTTTGAAGCCGCCTTACACAAGTCTCCATAGCTGGGGACAATCGATTGGTTGTCGTCCGATGCAGCTTTTACTGTCTCGATTGCCGTTTCCAATGCTTTGCGTGCAGCAGGTCCTAATTTTCGTGCTGCTGCCAAATCTTTTGGAGACATATTGGAAGATGACGAAATGAATGCCATAGGAGACGACCCGGTGCTTTGCCAGAAGTCCGAAGCTACGGTAGACGCAATAGTATCCTGGACTGTTGCAGGATCTTTTGATGCATCCAATAGGTCCAAGGCCTCGTCTGCGGTCTTCACATATTGGACGGTATCAAATACATCGTTCAATGAACAAACTTTCTTCTTCGAAGATACAAGATTTGCGAGGACATCAGTTGCTGAATCTTCCAACCTAGCTTTGGTGGTTTCTGGACTCTCAGTTACAACGATCAAGGAAGGTGATCCAGTGATGATTCCGTCACTATCATTCAGAATACGTTCGATTGCGGGGCCTAAGCTATCGAACAACMCTTCTCCCCTTGCCAAGTCGTCTTCATCAGCATAATAAACGACGCTTCCTTCGCAGGCTACGGCAGTCGAAGCCGCTTCTGGTACGGAGCACGCACCAGTCGAAAGGGCCATGCACACTCCCGATTCAGTACCAAAGGCAGTCGCCGTAGCATCTTCAAGACCAAAGAGCTCTGCCTTCTTAGATTCGGTGACACCCCGACTAGTCAAGAAACAAGCTGGAGCAACTTCTGACACTCCTTCGGCTTCAAGATCGGAAATCACGGTCGCTAAACTCATCGGTAGTCGTGTGTTGCTTTCAGCGACAACCGATGAAGCTGAAACCTCTGCAGCCATCGATGCGACCAAAAAGAAGGTCAAAGTTTGTGAAGAAAATCTCATTGTACTAATTCTATGCCCAGCAAATGAACTCCAATTTCGTGTGGTATGCTAGCATCAATGTTAGAGGGGAATGTAAGCTCTGTCACGTGATGGCTGTTGTAGTAGGGTAAGAGGATTCAAGATGAACACCACGGTTGAACAGCGTTGATTCAATAGTGATGTATTTCAACGGCGGTACCGGTAGGTGTGATAGTATGTGACGCGTGGAGGACAATGAAAAAACTTAAGATCCTCAAAAAATAGAAAATAGAGCAATATTTACGGTACGTACGAAGAGTAAGTAAGAGTACGAGGTAGGAAGGCAAATGAGGCCGAGACAGGTCCAGAGTCGGTACAAATTGTAGGCGGCTCTACGGAGGGAACAATAAGCTTCATTTGCCTCCCCAATTTCTACCTGTCTCAAAATTTAAAAAACATTAAGTATTTTTATATTGAAATATTTGGTAGTACTAATTTGTACATAGGATGCTAAAATCTCTAAATTTGATAACTGGCAGACCAAAAATTTAGAGAAAGTGACTCTAGACTTAGCATATTTAGAACCGGTCAAAACACCCCGTCCTAAATAATCTAGATTTAGACGAGTGGTGGACAACAACAACAACAACAACAACAACAACAACAACAACAACAACAACAACAACAAC